CAACAGCAAAATAATTAAAACAAAAAGGAAGACCAACGGGCTGCATGAGTGTGCGTGTATGCATGAGCACATTACGTGGTGCCTCGTGGGGTGGGGCGAGGGCGACAGTCCGTGCGGGAGGACACACACAAAGAGAGAGAAATATATATATTTAAGCGAAGGACGAGCTGCGCACCGCTCCCTCACGCCGCCGCCATCGCAGCAGCCACCGCACACGCAAGAAGCAGAAGAAGCGCAACGGGGGAGGTGCAGTGCGAGGCCGCGGTGCTCCCGTCACTGTCGCCGGGCGCCAGCCCCGTTGGTTTGGTGGCGTTGATGGCCGCTTGCGCAGCCGCCCCTGCTTCGGGCTTGGCGGTTTGCTCTTTCTTCCCACCACTCGCTTCCGGTTGTTCGTCGGAGGTGGGCACTGCGGTGTGCCCCTGCTCCACCTGACCATCTTCGGTTGTAGTCACGGGGCTCGCCGGCTTTGACTGCACTGCGGCGTCGTTGCCAGTGTTACTCGTAGCCGCAGCGTCCTTTGCAGCGCTGTCTGTGGGCCCTGCTGCTGGTTCCTTTTCACCGCTCTGCAAATCTGTGTTGTCGCTCAGCGTATTTTGAGTACCCTCCGTGTGCGGTTGTGGGGGTAAAGGATGGCCTTGGTGGCTCTGCTCTGGGTCTCCTTCCGCTGCCTGTTTCTCCTGCGGCCCTTTTTCCGGCACGTGCGATGGATTTTGCGTTGCAGAACCGTTGTTGCCTGCCGATTGCCCCTCCTTCCCTGCATTAGTTTTTCCTTCACTGACATCAGTTGAGGGCCCACGCCCTTCTTCTGGTTGGCTTGGCGACGACGGCTCTTCTCCATTTGGTGATGGTGAAGGTGAGCTTCCCTGCCGCGGTGGTATTTCTTCTCCCTTCGTGTGTTCCAGTCCCTCCGGATTTACATGGCCGCCCCCCTGATTGATCCCTGGTGCTACCCGCGTCGTCTGGAGGACTGTCTTTTCCATCCGTTCCCTCCCTGCCGTTGGTTGTTGGCTTTTGTGGTGGTGAATGTTTTCTCCCCACTTCACCATCTTGCGTATTTTGATTGCCAGACGGCGGGGTGTGGCTTGTCAGTCCCGACCCCTTCGCAGGAGGCTCTTCATCTGTTGTTTTCCCGTTCTTGCTCTCGCCCGTCAAAACACCACCTTCATGTACACCCGTACCTCCCTTACCGCTCGCCCCCTCCCCATCCCTCGCGTTCGTCTTCTCTTCTTCCCCTTCGCCTTCGCCATCAACAGACTGCAGACCTGCCCGCAGCCCCTGCACAAACTCCGGCTTGCGGCCGCAGTACTGCCCCTCAATCTCCGCCTCGCTCATGTCCCTCGCAACCGCCCTCAAGTCCCTCCAGTCACTCTC